TTCAAGGAGTTCGAGACCAGCCTGAGCAAGCAGCGAGACCCCGTCTCTACTAATAATACGAAATACATTAATTGGCCAACTAATATATATAATAGAAAAATTAGCCGGACATGGTGGGCGCATGCCTGTAGTCCCAGCTACTCGGGAGGCTGAGGCAGGAGGAATCGCTGGAACCCCGGAGATGGAGGTTGCTGTGAGCGAGGCTGATGTCACGGCACTCACTCTAGCCCGGGCAACAAAGCAAGGCTCTGTCTCAAAAAAAAAAAAAATAAGAACCCTGCTAACAGACTAGAAGTGCGAGTGTGTGTGTGACTGTCTCTGGTGGGATTTCATCAGATTTAGGCATTTGCAGGCCCAAGAGCAAGACCCATTTTGCTAATATGGGTTTTGTGAGTTCACTTGGGATCCTAAGTGTTGAACACAGACACGCACGTCCAGGTGTTTTGCTGCATCTTCGAGGGGCCGGGTCGTGCTCCCTTCACTGCCTAACTCGCTTCGTCTCCACCCGCAGAGCTCGTACGGGTACGGGGACCTGTTCTCCGAGGCGTGGAAGGCGTTCACCGACCACGACGTCATACAAGGCTGACCGCACGGCACTCACTCTAGCCTTGGACAACAAAGCGCGAAACTCTGTCTCAAAAAAAAAAAACAAAAAAACAATCCCCTGTGCCCCCAAATCTCTTGTGATTAGAATGAGAAAAAAAGAGACAGAAAACAGTGTCCTGATTTTTTCTTTCTGGGGAAAAGACGGTGCTGACTTTTAGAAAGATGAAAACTCAGACGCAGCTCGGAGCCCGCGCCGTGGCCCTTCTTCGGGTACCTCATGTGTGACGTTTGAGCCTCGCTGCACGCAACGTGCTGGGCAGACGCCCGGAACCAGCGCGCGCTGTTTCCTGGGCCAACCAAAAAAAAAAAAAACAAGAACGCACCACCACAAGCCGCGGGAGTCTGCGGGGAAGACGCCAGGCGCACGCCGCCCATTGCGCGCGCGCTCGCGGCCCATGCAAACGCCACCCCACACCTGAAGCGCCGCGCGCCGGCTGACTACCAAGCGGGGCGTGGTCTGTAGAACAGCCCCGTACCTCATGCGGCGCCCCAGCGAGAAACGGGCTTTCTCTGAAACACACCTGGGGACACGGCAGAGACACAGTAACAGAGATTAAAAAAAAAAAAACGAACTACCTCATTTGCGGACCCTTTGACACACGAAGATAGCACCTGCAATTTTGGAAACCGACTTTTTTTTTTTTATTTTTTGAGACAGAGCTCTCGCTCTTCTGTTGGCCCAGGCTAGAGTGAGTGACCCGCGTGTGGGCGGTCAGCCTCGCTCCACAGCGCCTCAGACTCCTGGGCCTCAAGCACATCCTCCTGCCTCAAGCCTCCCAAGTAGCGAGGACTACAGTCATGCTCGCCACCACTCGCCCGCGCCTAGTTTCTTTCATATATAGTACTTAGCTTGGCATTCACTTTTTCTCTACACTTTACATCAGTCACGCCACGAGGGGGTCTTGCTCTTGCTCAGCCGCTGTTTCGACTCCTGACCCGAGCGCTTCTCCGACTCACGCTGCTACGATGACCGCGCGTGACCGACGGCCGGACGTGGAAGCAGACTGTTCTGAATCAGTCTGCGTTTCCCATTACCAAAATAGTCTGGACAGAACCTGTTTCATGCAGACAACGACTGAAATTCAGATTTTGAAAAGTTGTGGCAAAGAAAACTTTTTTTTTTTCACAGAGATGATCGCTGATTAATAAGTTGAATGGAGGAGAATTCAAGCTGCGCAATAAACAGAAACCTAAGTAGCCATACGAGGGTGACAGTTCACCGTAGAAACTCACTATTAAATAATGTATTGCGGTGAGCGATCATCTGCACACGCAGGGCTGTTTACGACATTTCAGTAAAACTTTCCCACGCTACCCCCTTCTGCAGGCATCGCGTACGTTCTTCAGATGTATGACGTCGTGGTCGGTGAACGCCTTCAGGCCTCGGAACAGGTCCCAATC